AACACACACACACACACACACACACATAAACAAAAAACTCACATACATACACACACACATACCAAAAGAAACACATACATAGACATAGCAAAAAACACACAAAAATCCAACCTGCAAAACTTTCTTAACCTCTTCCCTTACGTTCCTTTGAAAAGTCTTCTGAAAATTAAAAAACAGCATCAACGAACTCCGAACAACCGACTTACTGTACCTATGTAGTAGTGGTAGATCTTCAAGGAGCTGCGTGTGCAGTGCTTCATACGTACGTCTCAGAAAGTCCACTTCATCTCGGAGCTGTTTTCGAGGGGTGTTCAGGATTGGGCTGTCTTAATCGACTACCTCACTGAATCAATCAATTACCACATTGAACCAATCGTCCAACTCTCTTTCTAAGCAACCAATCAACCAACTAGTCAACTACCCTATTCAATCAACCAATCAATAGCTCAACCAATCAGCCAACCGGCTAACCAACTAACCAATCAATTACTCAACCAATCAATCAATCAATCAACCCACTAATAAACCAATCAATTAAACCACCAACCAATCAATCAACCAATCAATCAACCAACCAAATAATCAGTCAATCAATCAATCAACCAATCGCCAGCTCCATCTACTAACGAATTTAGTTTGCTCATGAGCTGGAATCATTTTCAACCTGATAACAGCGTTGTCGTAATCTAGCAGTTTGTGCTGCCTCTTGCGAATCAGTGCCTGTGGCCCTTGGTACATGGTCAGTAAGGAGTTCAAGTTTGGCAAGATGTCGGTTGTTATTTGATCTTTCTGTTGGCAAGGGATTAGCGAGAAAAGGGTGAAATTAGCGGGAAATGGTGGAATTATGAGTGAGAGAGTGAGTGAGTGAGTGAAAGAGTGAGTGATGGCGATGATATAGAATGAGTGAGACAGTAAACAAGTGCGTATGATGAAACCAATCGACCAGCCAACCAACCAATCAACCAACCAACCGACCAACCAACCAACCAATCAACCAATCAACCAACCAACCAACCAGCCAGACAACCAACCAATTAACAGATCAATCAACCAACCAACAGATCAATCAACCAACCAACAAACAGCCAATCAGCCAACCACACAACCAACAAAATTGAAGCAAAGTGTCTCATTGATGTATGAATAACGTTCCCCCACTATGGGCACCTCCTTGTCGTAAATACCATCTCGGCACATATCACAAACCTCAACTACGAAGGATTCCAAATCCATGAAATACACCTGGATTGAGTGAATGAGTGAATGGATGGATGTATGGATGGATGGATGAGTGAATGAATGAATGAATGAATGAACGAATGAATGAATGAACGAACGAATGAATGAATGAACGAACTGGCGCACTCAAACCTGCAAGTAATCAATGTAGGTGGTGAGATCTTTGATGAGGTTTTTGATGGTCGTCATCATTCCTTTCAAATTGCTCTCTTCTTGTTGGAACGTTTCATCATGGGGCTGTTTGACGATGATGATGACGATGATGGCGATGATGTTGATGATGATGTTGATGATGATGATGTTGATGATGATGTTGATGATGATGTTGATGATGATGGTGAGAATGATGTTGTTGTTTATGATGATAAAGATGGTGATGGTGGTGAAGAGAGAAGAAAAAGATGATGAAACAAACATACATACATACAAACATACAAACATACATACATACATACATACATACATACATACATACATACATACATACATACATACATACATACATACATACATACAAACATACAAACATACAAACATACA